AAGAGCTAGTAATCATATTTTCATTCTCCATGTGAATTTTGGCATATCTTTTATATTTATGATGCCTTCTTTTCATACAAGGAGCTCTGATGGCTTAATGGGTTACATTGAGCTGCTAGGCAGCAGTTAAAAACCACCAGGTGCTCCATAGGAGGAAAATAAGGTTACCTACTTTTGTGAAATTTTAAAATCTCAGAAACCCAAAGGGGTAGTTTTATTCTTTTCTATAAGTTCACTATGAGTGGGAATAAACTCTATGGGCACGAGTCTTTGGTTGTCCTTTCATGCTGCTGTTAACTGTTAGTAGCTGACTCATGATGATGCCACATATAATTGAGTAAAATGTTTCCCTGATATACATTGTGTTAGTCCAATAGACTAGAAAAACAAATTCAGAGACATTCATATGTATATAAGAAAGATGTTTATATACAAAAGCAACTGAATATTGAGAAAACTTCTCAGCCCAGATCAAGTCTGTAAGTCCAATATTAGCCCATATGTCTAATACCAATCTATAAAATCCTCTTCAGACTCACAAAATATATGCAATAAAGCCGAATACAGGAGGATCACAAGCCAGTGGGTAGAAAGTCTTTAGATCCAGTGGCGCTGTAAGCATCTCACTGCTGGCAGGGGTCGCCACGTAGCTCTTCCAATTCCCAGGGCCCATATGTCCGATACCAATTTATAAAGTCCTCTTCAGACTCAGTAAATACATGTAATGATGCCGAAAACAGGAGGATCACAAGCCAGTGGTTTGGAAGTCTTGTGGATCCAGTGGTGTTATAAGCATCTCAGCTCTGGCAGGGGTCTCTACGTAGCTTTGCCAGCTCCAGAGGCCTGGTGGCATCAGGGTAGGTACATGTGGCTTCTCCAGCTCCCAGGGGGTAACGCCATGTGTCTTGTCAATAGAGTGTCTCTCACAGAGTGATCAGAGAGAGAGAAGTGTCTCCTGCCTCCAAGGAGGAAATACAGGAGTTCCCAGAATTCTCAGGAGAAAGCCATGCCCACACAGAGGCCTCATTGGCTATAACTCGATTGACAACCTAGACGCCACCCTATTCACTCTTACTCCTCTCAAATTTGACACCAGATTACGTAATTACCGCATACATCATGTGACATTTCATTGAATTTAAGTTCATTTTTGTGGTTACTTTGCAACCTGGGGGGCAGTGTGTGTGTATGGGGCTATCTCACAGCATAATATTTTCAAAATATTCTATTGCGATTCATGGATTTTTTTTTTTTTTGGCTACTTTTAAGAAATAGATGGCCAATATTTTTCAGTAGACTGTCTTAGTCTGGGAACTCTACTGAAACCTGTCCCAAATGGGTGACCTTGCTGGTATCTGAATTAACAGAGACACAGCTTGACCATTAGAGCATCATAAAACTCATCAAACCAAACTCTAAACTCAGTTACCAAGCCCATTCTGACTCATAATGACCCTACAGGACAAGGTAGCCTCTGTGAGTTTCCAAGACTATCACTATTTGCCTCATCTTTCTCCAGCAGAACCCTGGTAGTTCCAAAATACTGACCTTTTGGTTAGCAGCCCAACACATAACCACCTTTTCACTAGTGCTCATTAAAGATACCACAACATGATAAAATAACAATCCTAACAAACATTAGATTGAGCTATTTGTCCACGTAGTACCCTAAATACATTATGAATATATAGGATAAACATTATTTTCTCAAAATAGTCTTTTGGGGAATATAGTATAAAATAGTTAAACCCAATGTAAATGTCTTAGAAATGCAATTGTACAGCCAAGACTGATGGGGCACAAAACACATCTGGGTAAGAAACGGTAGTTCTAACCATATGGCAGCGACAGATTGTTCACTCCTTGCAAACATTAAGTCTGCTCTAACTCTCTGGCAGCCTGTTAAATAGTTAATGTTCTATGTAAATTGCATCTCTTAATTCCAACACAGATCAAGGTAAAAGGGGTCTGAGAGGAAACCCAACTTTGTTCTTTATTTCCCTTGAATTTTGGTGACATTGTTGTAAAAAACTTAACAACAACAACAACAACAACAAAACCCACTATATTCCCCATAAAATTTACACCAAGCACCAGTATGTTCTCAGTTCTTCAAATAATGTATGTCTAGAAAATTTTTGAAAATGTTATAAAAACTCTACAGTGCAGGAGACACATTTGAGTTATTGTCCATTAATACGGCCCTTCTAGTCATATTACTTATGTGATACATTATAATTCTGGACTATGTATGCCTATGCACTTGTACGCCTGTGGGCTTAGCCCCATTTTAGAGGGCTCGCTTTACTCTTCTAATGCACAGAACTAGGAGAGGATTAACATCTGATTGTGTGGGGAGTGTGAACCTAGCAACACCCTGTGTTTTCTTGGGGTCATCTTTGACTCTACCTTAGAAGAGAGTGTGACTTAAGGTACTATGCTTTGTTTACCTTGGATGGGGTATAGGTACTGGAACACTGTTCAGGTTTAGCACATATCACCTCACCTAGAAAACCATACTTCTATTTCCTAACTGAGCTTTTGTAGAAGCAACAAGACCTACTATAACTTTTGAACATTGTAGGCTCTGAATTCTGCATTTGGCTCACCTCCTACTGACTTTGGGATTTGAGACAGAACAGCACCTACCACCACTTGAGACATTTCCTCAAATTTTCTATGGAACATTGCAGTGAATGGCAGAACCCAGGGACATGAGAGAATATACTCAAGGGAGGAGTGGGAGAGAATTAAAGCAGAATAGCATCTTGGAAGGGTGGGACATTTGTGACATCTATAATCTCCAATTCCTTGGAATTAGTCTGGTATTAATTCTTCTAAAAGGAACTCATACAACAATATTTACAAGTATTGAGAAAAGAATGTCATTCTGAATAAATAGTACTTTATTATAACCAACTTTGTATACATGTATGTCTGTAAATATATGTAGCCATAAGCCTACGAGTATGCAAATATGCATACAACTTATTCCAAATGTTCAGAATTTAATCCAAAGAATAATTAGAGCTTGGGATATTGCCTTGACTTTTGTACAGCTCAGATTCTGCAACTATTTCTCAAATGACAAAATGAATGAATGAGTGAAGGACAATCAAGAAGTTAATTTTTCTCCTACTTTTCATGCTTTTGATGACAAGCCTAAGAACTCATCGTATAGCACTGTAACCTGAAGATTGTTTGCTGTAAACATTTCTAAAAATTACATAGTTGTATAAATTCCATTTAAGTTCATGATTCGTATTGAGTCAATTTTTGTGCAAGGTGTACCATTTAGATTGAAGTCTTTTTTGTCATAGAATATCCAGTTGCTCCAATACCATTTGTTGAAAGAGCTATCTTTACCTTACTGACAGATGGAAACTGGAAACACAGGGAATCTAGGACAGATGAACCCCTCATGACTGGCGGTGAGAGTGGTGATACCTGCAGGGAAGCGGAGCTAGAAAGGGGGAATCGATCACAAGGATCTATATATAACCTCCTCTCTGGGGGATGGGCAACAGAA